GTCAAAGTATATTAACATCTGGTTCATTTTTTTCTACAAAAGAATCATTTAATAGGATTCATTAAATAAGTAATCTCAGCCAGGGGTCAAATTATCCATTTCAGATAACTGCATTTTTTTATTAGTTTTTTTTTTCTAATTGAAATCAAATTATTTTAAAAAAATTTGGCGGGTGGGTGGTGCGTACCAGACAACATATTACAAAGATGAAAATTCACGTTCTACTCTTACTACCTAAAATAGATAGTTATCTTTATAATACATATGTTATTGTATTTGTGTGGGCCGGTACAGCCATGATTATTCTAGATAGATAAGATATATAATTCTGGATATATTGAAGAATTTTAAAATATCTGTCCTTATTTTTTAAATTTTTTTTTTTCAGCCTGACTTATAGGACCTATTTTAAAAAAAATTTGAAGAATAATTTAGGGTTGGGGGGTAGGGGGACTGGTATACTTTAACTTATGAAACATATCTTGATCACTTTTAAAACACAAAGATTGCGGTATTTTATAAAGTAAAAGATTATTTAAATTTGAACGTTTTGATAGCACATTCGCTAATATACTTTCACCAATTTATATTATATAAATATATTTAATGTTCGCGATACAAATTAGCCTATTTCGGTATTATTACTCGTATAGAACCTTTTCATACGTTTTAGGTAAATTCTGTGACTTTGAATAACAATCTAATTGGATAAACTATGATGGACACATATGATTGGTTAATTTTTTTAAAAATCTTCTTAGTTCATTGGATATAGAATAATTTAAAAACTAACATTTATTTTTATAGTCCGGGATCTATATTCATGCCTGACATACTATACACATCATGTGAGAGTTAATTTTGCTTTTTTTTTGATTTTGTTTCTAAAGACTTCCACATTCTCTACGTGGAATGGAAATGTAATCTAACAATTTTACTGCAAACAGTTTTGTCTAAACTGGTTTCAAGCGCATTATCACTACTTTTTCAGAAAAAAACGTGGTGCTGAGAAAATTTTATAACCTAAGGAGAATGGGTTGACCACTTTAAACATATTTTTTTTAGCTTTCATAATTTTTGAGTGGTTGAGCTCTCCTTTCTATATATCTTCTCTGCCTTTTACGTGTTATTCGTACACAATCAATCAATCTTGATCTTAATTTTGTTATTCCGTTGGGATTTTTGATCTTCCTATTCTTTACTTTACCCAATCCATAAAGTTCGAATCGCGTAAATTATTTTAGAAAAAATTCTATCTGTAAATTTTATAAAAAAAAAAAAACGCTCTAAATAGTTCTAAATAAATTATAGGTTTATGGAAATTTTTTTAAATATATCTTAAATTTATTAAATTTATAATCGAATTTTTTATGTAAAATAAAATTATTCGATTTTATTTATTGAAACTAAACGACATATAACATATGTCTTTCATTTTGAGTAATTATTAAAATTAATTTTCTATATTTAAATAAATTCGGGCCGGGCCGGTTCGGTAAATTTTTTTAAAATAAAATTTCGGGTTCGGGCCCTGCCGGGCTTGAAAAATTAGGCCCGATTGAGATCACTAGTTTAAATACCATAACTACAGCGTATTTTTAATTTTACCAAAATTTTTTTCTCAACGGCTCTCAAAAAGGTGTATGGTTTGAAGTTTTCATTCGATATGAATTTATGTATTAATTTTTAGAAAACTTAATATAATGTAATGTTAATATAAACTAGGTGAAAAAAAATATATTTATTATTTCTTAAAGAGAAAAGTGAGACCCGAGTTAGAAAATTTATGTCTGTGAAAGGTTTTTAAAAAAAAAAAATGGAACAAATGGGGGCTTTTCTTTCTTTCTTTCTTTCTTTCTTTCTTTCTTTCTTTCTTTCTTTCTTTCTTTCTTTCTTTCTTTCTTTCTTTCTTTCTTTCTTTCTTTCTTTCTTTCTTTCTTTCTTTCTTTCTTTCTTTCTTTCTTTCTTTCTTTCTTTCTTTCTTTTTCTTTCTTTCTTTCTTTCTTTCCTCACCCCAGTGACGTCACTGCAATATATCAACTATATATAAAAAAAACAATAATCAGCAAAAAAAAACAAAGATAAAAAACATCTAAAGTTAAGATTTTGATTTAAGATCTAGTCCTTTTCCAGTTTGTTCTGACCCAAGAATCTTTATTAGTAATGGATGTCCCTTTATACCATATTAGAGCGAAAGATCCTAGGGTCAGCTACAAACTCTACCAGGATCAAATAAAATCCCTAGAGTGATAGTAATAAAAAGTGAATCCTTTAAAAATCTAAGATCGCCCAAAGGGCCGCAATGATCTTAAAAAAGTAACGATAAATTTTATGAGGAATTAATAGACCAAATTGCTTCCTCACCCCCCCCCCCCATCCCCTTCCAAATTCCTGTGAAAAATCCTGGCTACTCCTTTGCATATACTATATATTACTTTATTATTTTTTTTAACTTTTTTATATAGGAAAACCCCACAAATTCAAATGGAATAATTATTTTAAACAAAAAAAATTGAAAAATAATATTTATAAAAATTTATGCCGGCACGCCAAACCTTATTTTGTTAAGAAATCTAAGGGTCAAAACATAGCTTGAACCCGAAATTAGTTAAATTTTATTTTAAAAATAGGCCCGGCTTTCTGCCTGTTAGAATTTTTATTATCAATAATAAAACTTTCCCTTCCCCTTAATAATAGATTAGATGTAATTTGATGTAAGAAAGTATTTAAAATATTTTAGCGTTCTAATTAGTGTTGACGGCTAACTCAATATTTCATCCAGAAAAAAATATTACGCAAGAACTGAAGATTTTGCTTATAGAAGGAACAAAGGTCTAGACATATATTAAAGAAATCTCTAGAACTTAGGCACTATTAATCTGGCTAAAATATTGAGTTAGCTTTTTTACAAAAGCATTTTTTTTTTTTAATTTTTGAAAATTATTTGCTTTTACATTACATAAAATTTTATTTATTAAAAAGTGGCACCAATACTATTGTCATCTCCAATAATTGAATTTCCTAATTTTTATTGGATAGATTTTACTTACACAATATCTTATAATTAATTTTAAAAGGAAATTAAAAAAATTATATATAAAAAAAGATTTATCAAGGTGATTTCATTGTGAAAATTAAAAAAAAATTATTTTTATATTTCATTTTTAAATTTAATTTATAAATATACAATATAATACCAAAATAAAAATATATCAATATTATGTTCTAGAAATTTCCAGCAAATATTTCAAACAGTTTGGATAATATTAAACTTAACCATATTTTGCTATTTCTGCAATTTCACAATCTAGAATTCCAATCCAATATCATTTTATAATGGAAGGGATAGGATAACTATCTAAGTCTGAATAGTCACACGTGACTTAATGTCTTGGTTAATTTAAGATTTTTAAAAAATAAACTAGTGCCCATTACGACACTGTAATAAGAATGGTTGGTTTTTATAGGCCTCAATTAGTCTTGTTACTGTTGATGATGCTCAAGATTTTTTTAGGAATGCTTGTAGCATGTGTGGATATTATATAAAATTAAGGTTTACAGTTCGATCATTAGATCCAATTCATTAATATATAATTTTTCAGTGAAAATTGGCCTGTAAGCCAAATATTTAATTCAATATAAACCACGAATTCCTAAATCAGCCGCACTTTTGATAATTGACATCATAGTTTGATCAAGCAACATATTGAAGAACTTAATGCCATTTCCTGGTTTAAGCATTTCCTTAACAGTATTAAGACCACTAGACACTTATCAAATACTCTTCCAATCTTAAACAACTGTAATTCAGCGCTATTTTATCCAGCCTATTTTGATTTTAATTAGACTGTGTCTATAAACTATATATTTGTGTCAATAAAGGTTTTAAAGTGATTAACGCTAATCTTAAACGGTTATTTAAATAATGCCAGAGTATGATAGTTGGATATAGAGAAAAGGTGGGTTGTTACACTAGATTTCTTCCCGACATGACACTGAGGTCATCGCCGACAAAAGAAATCTTTTTTTCTAAATGTTTTTAAGTAAACCCAGCGGAAGATCCAGTATGGTAAATTCTCCTCTGCATCTTCATTTTAGTTCAATCAGGTCTATAAATATAAAAATAGATTCATCAAATGAGGACCCCAATATCATTTTTGCATAAATAACCAAGGCTGTTTTATTTGAATTGTAGATTCATTATCATTAGCAATTTCTGATTATAAATTGAAGATATTATTTACCCTTTTCTTCAATATTTCTTTGGAAATGCTTTCAATTATTAACAAAGCAGAATACTTAAAATGCAAGATATGTTCTACATTCTAAACAACATGGCTCTTAATTACCCGAGGTCTTAAAATATGAACTTTTTCCTGCTTTTAATTAATCCATTAGTTAGCTCATCTAATATAATTAACATGATATTTTGAAAAAAATAATGTAACGATTGCAAATTATAAAAATGAGTAACTCTAATAAGCCACATTTCAAATAGGTTTACATGCTATGTAAGTATACAAGATAAATTCTTAATATAATTAGATACTTTCAAAAAGTAACTTTTATTTTAAAGCTTTTTTAAAAACATTTTTAAACACTCTCCTGTAATATTTAATATCGATGCCTGATGACACAATCATACGCTATTTATTAAATTTTCATCAATAGATATAAGGAAAAAATTACAAGAGACTCATAACTTTTATTTGATATTAAATACAACATTTAACACATAATAATATATTTATAATAATAATAATTTTTTAATCAATTTAATTATACAAATTATAATCTAATATGTTGATACAAGTAACGAGATTACACTATATATATACATATAAATAAGAGATAGGTTCGAATAATCTTCTAGTGTTGTTTCACCTAACTTTGACCAATTCCAAAATGACTCTGTTAAGTTTTTATTCTAAAGAATTACTTCCAATATTTAAGTTTGGGTTCAACTAGTAGGTTTTTAGGATTAAAAGCTTGGGCTGATCTTTATTGGAATTGGCTAAAAGTTATGCGACAATAACAACGCTATAATTTCCCGTTGTTCAAGGTGAAATTCTATTATCGGGGACAAATTTTTTAAAGAGATTACAAGGATACTTGTACAATAGAGAGAGTTTAAAAATCTTGATAACTTCTTCTTTATAAGCAGGATTCACTATTATATTTATGTAGAAGGTTAGTGATATGTACATGTACTCCAAGAGTGTGCAGGTAGCGAAAGCTATATCAAAATCCAAGGTTGAGAAATAATGATCGTAAAAGTCCACAGTGGTTATGTAAACGGAAACGGGAAGCAAAAAGATAAAAAATTCCAGCAGCAAGATGAGCAGCACGCTAAAACCTACGTTTAAATTTTTACGCCTCCTTTCCAACTTACGAGTAGTAGAGACGCGACGCGGATTTCTTTGCATGATTAAATTGAATACCAAGTGCGGGTTGATTAGTTTGGTTATCGTGATCAGCTTGTTCTTATTTGGAATAATGGCGGAATTGCCTAATGATTCCATAATTTCGGACGCCCTTGATGGTTCTTCCCTTTGGATAACGTTATCATTTATTGCGCGATTAGCAAACACTCTTGCTGAATTGGATGCAGTTGGAAGAGAACCACGGGTGTTCATATTTTCCATTCTCCAATTTAATAGAGTCTTTTGGCGCCTGAGTGAATGATAATTGAAAAATACTATCGCGCAAATAGGTAAAAATTTAGTAAAAACTTCCCTAGTAAATCCGTATATAATCCAACGCTTTTTAGCAGCAGGGTAGTAAAATGCGAACTGCCTAGTATAGATCGTATAATTGTCCGGTCCGCATATATAACTGAGTTGAATATTATCGAACCACCATCCCGAAGGTATGAACCAAAGTAGGATATAAGAAAAGCACAAGCACAATAATACTCTCACTCTAAACACAGTAACGTGACGCCTATAAAAATGTGGATGCACGGTGGCCAACATTTGCGATAAGGCGAACAGAAGGTAGATCATGAAAGAAAAATTGACAAAGGTTTTAGCCAAAGGAAAATGATAACTTGACAGATACTCCTTCCAAGGTCTCCGCAGCCAAAAAGCAGCCAAATGATATTCCGATAAGGTATCCAAGATGGGGTAGAGAAACATGAAGAAACAATTTAAGATGTTAATCGCGTAAAACGCTCTGCTCAACTGCACCGTAATATATGAAGGTTTGTCTTTCATCGCGACATACAATCCTGCCCCATTACCAATTAGGCTTAAAATCAGCAGGATTGGAGATACGCTTATAAAAATGAGTTTTAGTCGCCTGTCAGTAGGGGTCAAATATTTCCACTTGGCGCAATTTATAATGATATTTTCTTTTTTAAACGCGTTAGTGAATTTGTTTTGATGGCTAATTAGATCATTGAGGTTAGGAATATGTGCTGGAAATTTCCACAACATTTAGATTTTTTTTTTGGTGTATTACTTGTATATATATATATATATAATTAAAGGTAAAATATATATATTTATAATTACTTTTTTTTTCACAATGAAATACTCATTCTCTTATAAAAATGACTTGCTTCCCCTTTAAATTTTAATATATATTGTCATTTAATATCTTATCTTATGAATAGGAAATCTATTGAAATAATAATATTGGCAAAGCGTCTATAAAAATAAATAAATTATATATGATAATATAATTTAAATTATTTATTTTTTTTTTAAATAAATAAATTTTATCGACACCTTAGAAATATTTAAAAGATTGTTTTCTGTATCTATAAGGAATCAGAAGAAAAAAAAATTATAGCTGAAATGTTTCAATAGACCTTCAAATAGCCCAAATTCAGGACTATTTAGAATGTTGCAAGAGGTTGAGCAATAGGCTTGGGATAAACGATTAAAATGAAGTTTAGGCTACACTTCAATTCAAATTCCTGCTGAATTTTCTTCCTAAAAAGTAAAATTAAATATGTGAGAATCATTCGAAACAAAATACAATCAATCATCTTTATTAAGATTTTTTAAATTCATTTGATAATCATTGAAAACATGAATATTTCGTGATTTACCAAAACTTCCACGAATTCCGATATAACGTTTGCTAGATACATTTTTTAGCGATTTATATTGATAGATTTTTTGGCTAGGTTTTGATGGCTAATTTATATTACTATAACTCCCGGGAAAAGAAAAGAGTAAGAGGGTTAATCTGGCGGAAATTTTTTTTTTGGTAGAAGAACCCGAGTGTTGTTTATTGCAATTCAAGAGCGGGATTTATGATCCTCACAAAGAACACAAAATTAATGTATATCGGATTTGGCCAAATTAGTACGCGTACGATGGTATCATAATTTAGAAGGGGGGAAAGGCGTAATAATTAAAAAATTGTTGAGGGCTGGACGGAAGGCATTCGTGGCCGTGATCAAACAAAGAACGCCATTTAAAAATAATGTATTATGTCGTCGGTTACACGTAAATGATAAAGAAATATATAATAAATCAATTATTATGGCGGAAGAGTAAAATGAGGTAATGATGAGATAACAGTATAACAAAAGCTATTATGAAGGATGAGTTACTCAAGAGCATTTTACAGAGAAATTGCTTAAGTATTCAGGATCCCTTGCATCTATGCTGACTATCATGTGCAATCAAGCAACCACCGCCGATAAATTTCGCCGAAAAAACCTGACACAAAAAAAGAAACATATCATTTTTTTAAATTTTTTTTTATAAAAGATTTGTATACAATGCCCAATGCTCTTTTGTTTGCTATATAATAAAATAAACGTTAAAAATTTAAGGTTAAAAAAATATTTTTGTAGTGCATGCATAATTATTTATAAAGTTGAATTTCACTCTTTAAACCTTTAATATCTTGTAATTAAAATAAAGTGCTTTGACAATGAAGATCGCTGTCCGGGCTGGACCGACACACACGGACCGGATCAGGCAAGTAAATAACCAATCCTGACTGTGGTTATAACTGAAAATATTGATCCACGACCGGTCTATTTTTTTTGTTATTTTAAAAATATTTAATTTATTTTATTTTTTTTAAATTCAATTTTTTATTAAAATTCATATACAAATATGACAAAATATTATTATTTAAAAATTAACATTATAATATAGAAAATATAATAAAATATGTCATGTATCAGTTTGAGTTAAAAAAAAAGATTATAAAAGTATTTTTTCTATGTTAACAATATCAAATCAAATATGAGATAATTTAATAAATAATACAAATATTTTAATAAATAAAAATGAACTAACCACTAGGGTAGTAATATAGAATAAAATATACATAATATATGAATTGAATGATGAAGCAAACTTAAATATTAATAAAAGTCTGGCCCAATAGACCAGAATTGACCAGCACAAGTTCTGACCTGCCCCATGTTCTGTTTAACCCTGTCTCCAGTTCTATTGAATACTAATCGGGAAACGCACTATCTTCTAAATTCTCGGTTTAGGCGACATAGCTCCGAATTTATAAACTCTTACGTCATCTACATAACTTTTTTTTAAAAAATATCTCTGACCATAAAATTTTGGCCTGCAAAAATAATTGGCGCGAAAATATTCGAATTTAAATTTTATTGGACTTTATGACACGATTTTCTCGTATACTACTTTATCTATTTTTTTTAGAGTGGGAAACCTAGGAATCTAAATCAAATCATTAAACCGGTATTAACCGTTTTTATTTACTTAACCGAATATCGGTCTGGACCTAGTAATATATATATTATTTTTAAAAATATTAATTACATTCAATATGGATTATAGTCATTATCTGTCATCATTTTAGATATTTCAGTATTTAGCTATGTGACGTTTCGCTACCCTGGTTAGGGTAAGAATTTAGAATTATAATCAAATTAAAACTAATTTCCTTATATAATATGACACAAGGTATTAAAAAAAATTATTTTTTTTTAAAAAAAAATAATTCTCCTACATTATATAAGATTTTTATTTTATTTTTTTTCGGAGAGCGATACCAATAATTACTGTTATCTCAATAATTAAACTTCCTATTTCGAATGAAAATTTAATTGAAAATATATTAAAATTTATAGCTTTGTCAAGGTAATAACCTAATTGTATTATATACAATACAAATATAATTACCAAAATATACAATTAAAACGAATAATGTCGTGGAAATTCACGGCAGGCATTCCAAACCTGAACGATTCAATTAGCCATAGGAACGAATTTCGCAACGGGTTGGAAAAAGAAAATACCATTATTAATCGCGGGAGCCATATGGGAGAATATATTTACAGCCGACAGGCGTCTTAAACTTATTATTTTTATATGCTTATCTCCAATTCTGCTGATTATAGGCATAATAGGCAATGGGACAGGATTGTACATTGCGATGAAGGACAAACCTTTACACGTAAGAGTGCGTGAGCCGAGCATTTTATGCAGTTAACATAGTAAATTGCTTCTTTATGCTTTTCTACCCCATTTTGGATACCTTGGCAGAATATCATTTGGCTAATTTCTGGTTACAGAGACCTTGGAAGGAATATCTGTCAAGTTATCATTTTCCTTTGGCTAAAACCTTTGTTAATTTATTTTTCATGATATACCTTCTCTTCGCCTCATTGCAGATGATGGCTACCGTGTATCCCATTTATATAGGCGTCATATTACTGCATTTAGAGTGAGGGCATTGTTGCGCTTTAGCTTTTCTTATCTCCTGTTTTGTGTCATACTTTCGGGGTGGTGGCTTGATAATATTCAGCTCAATTATATATGCGGGGCAAAGAATTCCACAATCTATAGCAGGCAATTTGCAAAGAAAGAAAGAAAGAAAGAAAGAAAAGAAAGATTCAGGAATTTTTTTACAAAATTTGCACCCGTTTGTACGATATTAGTTTTTAATTATTACCCCCTCAAACGCCAAAAGACTTTATTGAATTGGAGAATGAAAAATACGGTCAACCTAATTCCTCTTCCGTCTGGATCCAATATGATCAGAGTGGTATCTAATTCTGAAATAAAAAATGGCAGTCATATCCAAATAGAAGCACCATCAAAAGCATCTAAAATTGTAAGATCATTAGGTCATTCCACTAACATAAAAAAATATCGACAAAATGGTTACCACAACCAAACTAATTAAATACCTGCAAGCAAATTTATATTGTAACTCTACGAAGAAGAGGTTGGAAGTGAGAAGGAAAAATCTCAACATAGGTTTTAGGAATGCTCTTAATTTTGATGCTGGAATTTGTTATTTTCTTGCTACCAGTCTCTATCTATATTACCACCGTAGATTTTTATGATCATTTTCTATAGACCATCGATTTTGATATCGCTTTCGCTACACGTACACTTTTAGAATATATGTTACATATCTTTCACGTTTTATCTCAATGTATTACCTAATCCTTCCTATAAGGAAGATGTGGTTAAAGTTATTAAACTTTCTTTATTGTATAATTATTTTTGCAAATTTAACGATAATCTGTCAAACATTGTAAAAATATTTGTCCCTAATAATTGAATTTTACCTTGAACATATTTAAATAAACGAATTTTTCTTTTGAATACATTAGTATATATTGTATCTTCAATAAATATCATTGTTAAATATTGTATAAATATCAAAATAAATTGTTTAATTTTTATTGTCCTATTGTCTTATGTCTCTAAAAAAAATAATGATATAAGGTTAATCAAGCATTAATAATTAATATCATAGGATGGTGGATAAAAGTTTTTTTTTTTAAATAGTATCTAGTTACATTGAAAGTTATGCTTTACATTACATTTTTCGAAATATGATGTTAATTATATGGGTATTTATGAAAACAAAAGTGGCTTTAAGAAAAATTGTATATGTCATAAAGACAGAGTTTATTAAAATTCAGGGCTACGTTTTATAGACTCGGGTTTTTTTTAGCGGATTTAAAATAAAATTAAATCATCTATAACTTCCGTTTCCTAATTTTGAGATATATATTTTTGCGCACGTATATTTCGGAGGATGTTTATAAAATATTTATGGTGTGAATCCGATGACATATAATAATACCTAGACTGACGGTGCATTCATCAAAAGTGTGCATCCAATGAAAACAGCTGGGTGGGCCATTTTGATTACCCGTATCATTACTTAAAAATTTTAAACGAGAGGCCAATTTATTTCCTATGTATGACGCAAACTTTATTAAGGAATCGCTCTTCTCATAGAGATAATAAAGGAAGCAAGTTATCAATTTTAATGGTAGTTTTTTAACATGAGAATAATTACTAATATGGGTTATCAAAATGGCGGACCCAGCTGATTTGCATTCAACGACGCTTTCACACTCATTATTACGAATGCATCGTCAGTCTAGGTATTCAGACTATTACGACATAAATTATTCTTTATTTTTTTTTTTTAATTTATATAAAAAATTAAATGTAGGGGAGCCCGGGGCTGGTTGAGTACAGGGGAAGTTTAAAAACTATTCTTTTCTTTGCATAATATTTAATTTGCTAAGTGAAAAAGTTTGAACCGGGTTAAAAAATGTTCGAACCGGCCCGTTATGATTACTCTTTTGCAAACCGAACCCGAACTTTGTATGCCATATTTATATCTGAAGAGAGCACAGAACCGATATTCTTTACAGTTGGGATCCCTCATTTAAATTATTATTTAAAGGCTGGAAATTTAGGCCTATATTACAAATAATTAAGAAATGTATGATTTCACATTTAGACCCTCATTTCCTTGTTAGCCAACTAATCACGTGTTTATGAATCGACCGAACCCAGGAGTACGGCGCTGTTGGGTCGAATTAAAAATTTCGTTCAAATTAAATTTTTTCTTAAAATGGTATAGTTTTAGGTAAAATCCAAAAATAACCTAACTCCGAGGACAAGGAAGATGGTTTAATTTATTCAGACAAGTGTTTAACATTAATAAATTTATTCATGTTTTTGAAAAGTGTTCCGAACCTATATATTGAAATCTCCTAGTTCACAGATTCACGAGATAATTGATTGACATCTACAGCAGAGACCTGCAGGCCATGACCTAAGCCCGACCCGGGTACCCTGCCCGGGCTGTGTGATTGGTATATCTGCACTCCGATTTGCAGGGTTTTTCGAAAAAAACATACATATATATTAATTTCCCTCCTCCACCTTTAGAGTAATTTTATAAACAATTTTCGGATAACGACATTTATATATATATTTTTTTTTTAAAAAAAAGCGCGAATATAGGTACAATAATTGCGCGAATTTTAGAAGCACGGAAATAAATTGTCGCTCGATAATAACGGGAATAGATACAAAAAGAAAATCAAAATCGAAATCTGTCATAAAAATCGGTAGATTTTACAAATAATATTTATTCAATTATTGGAACTTTTTATATGTCTATCTAACAATAAATTCCTTAGATTCCTCGAAGTCTTCGATGGGGATTTTAATCCTCTCATTTTGTCTTAAACGGATATGGAGTCATTGTGAAAAAAATTTTGCAAAAAACTTAGGCAATACGAATGATTAAAAGGACGTTCCTCTTCCATTTTGTTTTTTTTCTTTCTAGAACCTTTCCCTAGCTTTTTGGGGGTTCGGTCGCCATAGGATGATCCGAACTCACGTCCTTAACGGCAAAAGGGCACCCATCTTTCAAATGACGCGTCACGTTTCGACTGTGCAAGTAATATTTTCCGCAGTTGGGAGAGGGACAATAAAATCTTTGGATCTCGATGAGGTCATATTTCGCTTTATCGCCTAATTTATTGGTTGGCGAATTTTGGCCAATTTTTCCATCCCTTTCAGGTGTTATAAAATCCTCTTCAGCGCCATTTCCCATAAATTCGATTTCTGGAGAAGAATCGTTCATCAACGCATCGCCATTTTCGGCGTCTTTAAGATTAGCTGTTAAGTTTTTTATGTGATTTATCTCCGCGTTTTTCTCTATGGTCGACTTGTGAAATATTTCTAGGTGTCTGGCCAACAGTTTCGCGGATCGGAAGGTAACTTGTCCAGCTAAACATATCGATGAGTACGGGCAGCGATGCGGGGAGGACCGGAAACGTGATGGCGAAGCAATCGTGCCGCAAATAGGGTCGTCCCTGGGTAGGCGATAGTCGCCGGGAATATAGGTAGGACAATCATTTAGGGATGTGTTAGGTGATATATGGGTTTTAGTATTAATAAGATTAGTGGACATATTTGAAGTGTCAGTTTGATGAGTTATTGAATGGGTTTCAAGCTGCCCGCGTTTTTTAAAGGTCTTCGAGCAGTCGGGGCATTTAAATTCACGATATAAGTGTGCGCTTTTCGAAAATGATGCAGGGGGACATAAGAGTTTTGATTGGTCAAAATGTTTAAAGTTTGAATAGATCTCCACATTAGTTTGAGTATTGGAAGAAGTTTTCAAGGCTTCCTCCTGTAAATTGTTTAGGCCTTCACGGGATTTCGCGGTTCCAGCTTCCATGTTATTCCTTGACCTGTCGATATCTTGGAAACCGTTTATCGTTGCTTCGCCATTTTCGGCGTCATCATTATCTCGATTTTCAAGATTCGATCCGTTTTTCATATGATTTACCAATAAACCCTCTTCCGTTTCGTTTCTTTTGGTTCCCGGCTTGTGGAATATTTCCAAGTGCTGGGACAACAGTTTAGCGGATCGAAAAGTCACGCGCCTAGATAAACATGTAGACGAGTATGGGCAGCGATGCGGTAAAACCCGGGTACCTCGTGACGCCAGAGCTTTGGTGTTGTGAATAGGAATGTGCCTGCGCAGACGTGAAGCGGAAGCAAAACCTTTCCCAGGGGAACTCCTAGGACAGCCATAGTGGGTGCATAGGTAAGGCAGGGTAGTAGTAACAAGGTTAGATGTAGATATATTTGAGTCTTGATGAGATAATAAATGGGTTTTAAGCCGCTCACGCTTTTTGTAGGTCTTGGGACAATTGGGACATTTAAATTCGCAACGCAAGCGTGGGCTTTTCGAATCCAATGCAGTACATAAAAGATTTGTTGATTGGTCAGAATTTTCAAAATTTGAACAAGTCTCCATATTATTCTGGGTAATACTAGAAGTTTCTATAGGATCCCCCTCAGAATCGCCTAGATCTTCGTACTTGGTTCCAGGTGATGATTGTAGCATTTTTTTGTGGGTTCTAAGTGTGTGCCTTCTCAGGTGTTCTTTCCGGTAAAACGCTTTATCGCAACTAGCTTCTATGCAGGGAAATGCCCTGAACTTTAAGTGTTGAGAATTTATGTGTGCTGATAGTCTATATGGACGTTTGAATACACTGGGACATAAGAGATAGGGGCAACAATGAAGCATTACTGAGTTTGAAGTCATATTGTTGGGAGAAGTAGATTTTTTTATAGTGATAATCGAATTATAATATGAGGGGAGTCATCATTACTATGGTTCTTGTGAAGGCAAAGAATTGCATTGGCTGATTTGGGAGAAAAGGATAATTACTAAGCATAATGAGAGAGGTTTCAATGTTTATCTGGTGTTTAATTAATTTAAGTAGTTTAATGATTGGTATATTTATGCGAAGAAAATTTTTAATTATTTGAGTAAGTATAATTGGGATGTGATGATGATATAGATAATATTAGCTATTCGTCTAAAATATTTGGTTTCGCAGTTGGTCATAAATTTATTCTTTGGAAATGACATCAAATTATTTTTCGATATGATGAAGTTGCAGTCCTATTATGAGGCTTAAAATTATTTGAGGATGTAGAAGTAAAAGAAGCAATAAACCAAGGCTACACCTATCAATAGAGTTCCCATGATGAGTGTTATTTGCTTAATTTAATAATTAAAATAACTTTATTTTTAATAGTGTAGATTAAATAATTTTTATCTTACGTAGTTTCTTAATTGTCTTATAAAATCAAATGTTTAATTAAAACAAAAACAAGATATATAATGTAAATTTAAGAATTTGAATTAGAAAAAAACTGCTATTCCATGAAAACGGATATGGAATTATAAGACCCCCCTCCCAATCCCTCATGTCAAATATAAATTTTTAAATTAAAAGTTGCATTATTTTTTTCTGTTTTAAATTTTTAAAAATTGTAGGGTTCTGACAATGGATGCAAATTATTGGCTTAAATAAATTTTATTAAATTAAAATTCCAGATCATATATGACATACGTCAAAGAAAAGAAATAATCATTGGTAAAAATAACAGCTAAATTTGCATATTCATATAATATGTATCTTTATGTCTGGGAATATTAACCAAGAAGTAAACATTTTTTAGAAATGAGAAAATTAATGTGAATTCTCAAATCTTAAAAACCAATGGTGTCAAGGCCAACATATGGTGATAAATAAGCAGGTTTCGGTCTCTGCAAGATTATGTCTAGTTATTGATGACTAATATAACATTGGCTGCACAATAAACTATGGCTTTACATAGATGAGAATACTTAGACTCAGACTGGACCTAATTTTAAATTTTGAACTGGACATTTTTCAGACTTCATTTCTTAAAAATAATGTTTTTCATCAAATTATATTAAGCAAATATTTTGATTTTTTTTATAAACTGCATTTTTTTGAAAATTTATTCTCAAACTGATTTTTGCAATATATTTAACAATTAAAAAAAATTGTATGGATCTGAGCAGACCATACCTAATTTTTATATTTTTTTTTTGAGGTGGAACTTATTGGAAACAAATAAAGGCAGACTTATTGGGCCTATAAAAACAGGTCTGATATGGCTCTTGTACTGTAACAAATTGGCATTTAATATTTTATGTTACATTTTAAAATTTATATTATATTATTATTTAGAACATATTGTAATTTACCATTATTATATTATTTTATTCTAATATAAATAAATAATATATGAGTCACTTTTAAAGACCAATTCATTACAACTATCAACTAAAATTTGTTCAGAAGAGATTAAAAAAACAAATTAAATTTATATTAACTATACAATTGATAGATTTAATTTCATCATAATAATGAATGAAGAAACTTTAGTTGGTTTTCATAGAATGATAGTTAATCTATATATATCTTGTAATTGTAATAACTTAAAAAAAAATAGGTAAATATTTATTTTATTTAAAAAGATTAAATTAATATTATCATAAAACTTACTTGTGCAGATTTATGCTGTAAATGTTCTAATTGAGATTTTTTCTTTTGGGAAAGCAATTCTTTTGAATTTTTGTTAACCTGTTTTCCTATAATAAAAATCAATTGTATATATATATATATCAAAAAATTTAAGTACCAATAGTTTTCCTGTATATCTCAATATTACTTCCATGATTGGATGTATCTTTACGTGCCATTTTTTGTGTTTTAGAATACAGTATCTTTTTTATAATTCTTAAAATCAAATATTTGTTTTAACGGATGGTTCATCACGTTAGTCGTTTATAAATAACCAGCTGATATTGAATTATAACCATGCATTCATAAACGCTATCTGGGCGATTATGAGCGAAGCATAAAAAATTAATGTAAAGTTATTATATTTATATTATATTTTGTATACTTTGTTACGAATTGATCTAACTCTGAATGCAGGATAAAGGTTAAAATGTTTATATTATACAAATATCATCAGTCAATCTAATCAGCTAATGGCCTCATTTTAAATAATATTAAATTATATGGGCTAAATTTGCATATATTATATAAAGATTAACATGTCAAATATCAAAATATTAGTAAATCAAATTTAACACAAAAAATATGATAATGAGATTCTTTATTTGAGCTTTTAATACATATTGCAACAAAAAGAAAGGAAATACCTCATCAAAATTTGACTAACTTTTTTTAGTTCTAAAATATTTTCTGGGATTATGCATCAAGTATAATAAAATTATTTGTTGATAAATTTCAATGCAAAAATTGATTAATTAACCGGTTTTATTTTGAAGAGTCCCGTTTTCCCACTTAACTAATAGCATCTCTTAAATAACTTATCTAACTTATTAAATAATGACGAAGGCCTTGTTAAAATTTTTAATGCTTTAAATTTCTCCTGCTGAATGGGGTGGAATTTTTTACCCTTTCTCTCTCCTAAGCCAGCTTAGTGCCTGACGTGGAATTTAACAACACATCAAACTTGAGGTCTGCTTTGAGCGGAGTTTCAGCCCATCCGTCCACTCCCGCCCATCTAAGTAAACGGGCGGGTGGGTGGGCGGGTAAAAAAATTTGAAACTATGGGCGGGCTGGGCGGGTTAAGAAATTTGAAATTTTTGTTCAAAAACATACTAAAAAAAATAATTGTTTAAATGATCGATAACAATATTTCTTTTTTTATTGTACCAATCGTTTTTTTTAAGTGAAGAACATTTACCTAAATTAAATTATGTAATAAACACAACAATAAAACTTTTTTCTTAGAACAAATAAACATTTTTGTCTATTTAAAATTTCCTTTTATAGGAATGTAATCAAACTTTTCTCTTAAAATTTCCTTATTTTGGGTTTGCAATCTGCATTATATTATTTTATTTTAGTAATAATTGTTTATCTTTATAATTACCCTTTTCATTTTTTTTTTATTATATAATATATAAATTTTATTTTTTATAGCATATTTTTTAATAAAAAAAATATATTTTAATTTAATTTATATTTTAAAATTTTATTATGAATAAAAATATATCTAAAAAAATAATAAATAATTTATATAAATTAAAATAAAATAAAATTCAGATAATAATAAACTCAAATCTTCAATGTGGAAACAATTTAAAATCATTTTCGATGAAAATGACAAAAAGCTAGATTGGATTAGCTGCAATGATTGCGAATCTATCTATAAATATAATAACAAAAGTGGCACATCCTTCTTCCTTCGTCATCAATGTTCATCTGCAAGAAGATTTGATATATAATAAAAAAAATATTCGGATATTTTCAAAAAGAAAATTCTCAATTAAACAAAACGATCGGGTCTATTCGCCAATTTCCTAGAATTTTATCTTTTTTTTATAAATAATGGGCAGGCGGGTAAAAAAATTTAGATTAATGGGCGGGCGTGTAATAAATTTTTGACAAATGTCCGGGGCGGGCTGGTATATATTTTTTGAAAACTATGGGCAGGCTGGGTGGGCGGGTTAAATTTTCTTAAAACATTGGATTGGCGGGCTTTTAGTCCAAAAACCCGCCCAATGCAGACCTCTATATCAAACTACTTTTTTACATCTTTCAATGATGATTGACATTGACACCATGTTAGCATTACCGAAAGCCAATTTCGTTATCATCGTCATGTATTCTAAAAAATTTACCTGCGATATTTAAAAACCATATGACTAACGATATTTTAAAAATACTGGTAGCTTCGGATATACATTTAGGATTCGCAGAAAAAGATCCAATTAGATGCAATGATTCCTTTAATACATTTGAAGAGATATTACAAATAGCTGTAAGGTAAATAAAGCAATTATTAAATTACACTTTTTAATTACATGATAACATTTTTCACTCAAAATAAGCAATCTATTAAATCATATAGTTATATGTAACTTATTTTATTATATATGTAAAGCCAAAGAGTAGATTTTATGCTTTTAGGAGGTGATCTTTTCCATGAAAACAAGCCCTCAAGATCATGCCTTCATTCTTGCATATCCTTACTTAGAAAATATTGTTTGGGAATTTCCTCAATCTCTTCAAATGAAAATAGTGATCTTTTACCTCCTTGTTCAACTTTAGAATATTTAACTCAAGAGGCTTCAACATTTCTAGATTTACCAGATGTGAATTTCAAAGGAAACTCAAATAGCATCAGAGATAATTATACACATGAACAAGAATCGATTAATTATTCCACCGGTGTAAATAAAAATAATGAATTAAAAAGGAAAATTTTAGAGAGAAGAAAAGTGAAAATCAACTATCTCGACCCAGATCTCAATATTACTCTACCTGTATTTAGTGTGCATGGCAACCATGATGATCCCACTGGAAAGTATAATTTAAGTGCAATCGATATATTAGCATCAACTGGTCTCTTGAATCATTTTGGTAGAAATTTTGATTCCCACTATGACAACCCAATCATAAGCAAAGATGCTGATCTTGATACAGATAATATGGGCAGTAAAAAGAAATCAAAAGCTACTAACCATGGCTCAAATTTGGACAGAATATACATAACACCATTACTTTTTAGAAAAGGTAGAGAACCTTAAAGCCTTTAAATTTATATTTAAATGAATATATATCTTGTAACTTCTTAAACAAACAAAAAAAAACTGGTAAGAATATGATTTGTGAGCCATAATTACCATTGGCTATCTTTTTATTTATTTATCTATCATGTGATTGGTTGAATTTTATTTATTTTGACTGGAACTTTCTAGATTTAACATAATTTGTTTTAAGATTATGCCAAAGATGCTCTATGAATTGACTATTTAAGCCCCTATTAACCAGGTCCACCAAAATTATTATTTTTAAACATTTATTCAAACTATTTAAAAAATTCATTTAAAAATAAATACTTGTGGGAAATTAACAACAAATTGTTTTCAATAATAAAAATATCAAAAAAGGTTAAATAAACATAATTAAACCAATCATATGACAGATAAATAAATAATAGATATAGCCAATGGTAATTATGGCTAACAAACCATAAAAGTAAAACTTTATAAATTCAAAAAAAAATGACAATATTCAAAAACCAATTATTTTATTTTTTTTTATAGTAGTTTCATTAATAGTGAGTAATTAAATTACTCTGCAAATTCATTATAGTTCTATTACCCAACAAATCAAAAACTTTCAATTTTTTTATACACCAACACATTTCTAACTCTTTTTGCAAATAAATATAAACAAAGGGAAAACCAAATTGGCTCTTTATGGGTTAGGTTCTATACGAGATGAAAGACTTCATAGGTTAAATATAATAAGCTTTTAAAAAAAAAATTTATCGATTAGAAAAAGCAAATGTTTTTTATTGGCCCCAAACTTGGCTACTGAGCTGGCTTGGGGACTCAGATTAGAATTGAATTTGATACGAAACCTATGACACTCTTGAAATCACAATTATTTTCATTTATTATTTTGAATCTATTTTAAGAAGAAGAAAAATATTGCAATAATAATTTGTGGTTCTTTTGACAGATTGATGGCTTACAAAAATGTGGTGTACTTAAGACCCGAATCATCTTGCCCTGCTGATAACTTCAAAGTTCCAACAATGGATTCTAATGGTAAATCATTTAATTTATTTAAATAATAATATCCTTTTTTCCTTTTCTTATATATATTTCGCCATTGCAATTTTTATATTTCAATCAAAAATGAAAACTAAAAAAGAGAAAGAAATATTTTTTATCTACTAAATTTCTATCTAAATTAGCAGATAAATATTCAAAATAATGAATATTTTTGATACAGATTATTTGATCTAAATGTTTTCTTATTGGTTTTATATATATACTCGATGTTTGTCTGGAGGATGTCTAAAATATTTGTCACACATCTGTTATAGAATGGCCATATCTATTCAATTTTATAATTAATATCCTTTTCTCTTTTTTTTCCACCATTTCATTTTGACAAAATAGTTATCACTTGATTATACTATATCCACTGAACATATTCCCTTTTAAGTATTTTCAAGATGAAATAATGTTCACTCCGCATCCTATTATTCTAACATTAAAGAAAGTGAAATATAAGAAGATAAAAAAAATGGAGTACTTGGTAAAATGTGACTCAAAATATTTTTATTTTTGTAAAGGGATAGATGAAGCCAGTTATTTATAAGTAAAGTAATATAAAAAATATACAAGATTTTCATATTTTAGCCCGGATATGCCAATTATCTCATTTTATTTCAAGTTGGTTGACAGGATATCCGTCCAAGTAGTTATTCATCGAAAAATACAAATTATTAAAAATTATTTTATTTATTTATTTTTTTTTAAATAAACACACCAAGTTAATTTTTGATTTTGTGCGAATATTTTATTTAAAAAATTTGATTGATTTTGCGCCAAATATTTTTATTCATTTTGACAAAAAAATTTTTAGTGAATTATTTTGATTGGCTGACAAAGTAGCGTATTAAAACTCATATAAACAAAACAAAAAAAAGGTACTCTCGGAGAAAGGAATGGGAATGAGCTGAACGGGGGAGATGACGGACACGTGGAGGACGAATATTTTAATCTATTCGTGCTGCACCAGAACAGGACCAAGCACGGGCCGACCAATTATATACCCGAGCATTTTCTAGAAGACTTTTTGGATCTCGTCATATGGGGACACGAACACGAGGTAAACAATACAATACAAAAAATGGCGATTTTTATTTTTGGAATTTAAAATAAATTTAAAGCTTTGTGGTTTTTGTTGTCGATTCTTATTTGGGAAATAAAGATTAGTATTTTCGTGGCCGTAGAGAACTTTTCGATACTTAAATAAAATAAGATACGATACTGGAGATACCTCGAAATTGTAACTGATTTCGGCGAGAGTTACATAAAAATTAAAATCATTAAAAAAAAATTGGCCAGTGTCTTATAGATCCGCAATGGAACGCCGAGAAATCTTTTTTCGTCAGTCAACCGGGCAGTTCTATCGCTACGTCACTTAGCGCGGGTGAAGCCGTACCTAAACACGTTGCACTTTTGCAGATCAAAAATAAGTTAGTCAACGTATATATATATTTCATTCCATACTAACACGATTAAAATGAATCGATACCTTTAGTCTCGGGTCTGCGAAGGGTTTTTTTTCGCGGCCCGAGCCCGACCCGAACCCGAATTCAAATTTTTTAACCCGGTCCGAACCCGATTAAATTTTTTTAATTTATATGTATTACCTTAAATAAAAGTTTATTTGACCGCCATAATATAATCGATATTTATATAAAGTTGCATTTTTTATTTAAATTGGAAATGTTTACTTTTTATTCAGTTTAAAATATTATTTAAAAAGTTGAAATACAATAGGAATTTAATAATTATCGCGATTATATAAATAACGAGGAGTGGAGTTTGTCGGGCTTTAAACAAGTCCTACTATCTTCAAAGATCACTATCAGCAGCTGAAAGCGCTATTTCACTGCTAGCCGAGGAAGCAGGGGATAGCCAGGAAATTCAATAACCAAAACATTTAAATTGGGGAAGTCGTTTTGATAGGTCTTCCACCAATTTAAAATTTGGTAAACGATTTTAAATATTAAAAAATTTGAGGCTTATTTAATTAAATATATATTAGATAAATATTTTTTATATTAACCTGATAGAATATGATGTAAATAAACTGTGTAATAATGACTCAAAATTATAATAAAGAGCAAAATAGTTTGGTGAACGGATGTTACGTAAAATAGTAATCGAAGAATGACATGTTATTCTGATTGACAATTTAATGATGAAATGTGATTTCAATTGACATTATGGATTAAAATGATTATTAAGGATATTTGTCGGGTCGGGCTTCGGGTCGGACACCTCTTACAACCCGAGCCCGATAATAAAAAGTTCGGGTATGGACAACCCGTGTGGACTTGTAGTCTCGCCTCACAAATTATTTAAAATACAATTCCTATTTTCCAAATATGACATATCGATAAAATTTTTTATAGGAGTTTTAAAATGAACAAAATCCCTTTGAAAACGGTTAGACCGTTCGTTATACTCGACTCGAAGCCACCGTCTGTCCCCTCCGCGGCCAAACTATTTTTGTTGAACGCGATGGAAAACGCCTTGAAAAACGACATTCCGCGGCTTATAACCGGTGACCCTAGGCAGCCAACCTTGCCCTTGATTCGGATTAGGGTCGAGTACGATGAAAAGTAATCGAATTTCGTACAGTATTGGTTGGGGTGGGGTCAAATAGACCTTTTTTATGCCCTTAAAATTGAGTGATAATATTGTAATTTAATTTTTATACAAGTGCCTAGCTTGGGGTTACTATGGGGTATGAGTAAATGGGTATAATATTATGTGCATTTGAACTGAGTCGTCGGCTGGAGTAATGAGCGTTTGCAAATGATTTCTACAGAAAATGAGATAGGATAGAAAACCAGGATTAAATATTTGAGCCCTAATACCAGGACTGCTTTCTTACAAATTATATATATTCTATTTTTAATTATTCAAAAAAAAAGATAATATTTGTGCATGTTATTAGCTTTAAATATACGAACACTGAATTGTTGTAGATTCTGCTAAAGAATGATGAACTCTAAATACATATATAACTTGACACTATTATATAACAAAATATATATTAAATCTTTTTAGATTAGACTTTTTAAACCCTATAAAGTTCGGTCAAGCTTTCGTTGACACCGTCGCCAATCCTAAAGACATCATCCATTTTCTCAAGAAAAAAAGTTTTTATTTCTCATTTTATATTTTTTTTATTTTAATTTGATTTGTGTGTAAAAGTTAAATTGTTTTGTTAATTACATTTCATAGTGAATCTGAATATTATTATTCAATAATAGTATATTAGAGGGTAATGGAGTAGCTATTAAATGAGAATAATCTTCAAAAACGTTTTTTTAATACATTTTTGTGATTTAAAGGAGGCATATAAGCTCTTTTCTATTATATTAGTAACCTTTTTTTTCAAAAAAAATTCTCTGAAGAAGTCGTTTTTGGGGTGGTTCAAAGAATAACTAATGCATCTTTGTTTGATATAAAATTAATTTTGGCTACTTTTTTTAAAAAAAAAGGAACGCGATGCCGCTATTTCTATTTTAAAGTAGCACGCTCTTAGCTACCGCTACTAACAAAGTTACTTTAACTCTGGCGGTGCCTACTATTATTTTTATATGATTTGGTATAAAAAGGTTGATTTTTAAAATATCATCTTCCAGATCCTCGTCTTACTATCCTACGTAATTCCAAATCGTATTCTAAAGTCCACCCTAGTGGAGGACATGGCCATCAATTGTCCGGTCCAATTAAAACCTTTTTATATCAAAAACAAAATCTATTATTTTTTTAGACGAAAGCACGGAACACAAAGAGGATAGATTGGCCCTTAAAAAATTTATGACAAAGACGTGCCCCTTCGATCCTGTCTTGCTAGAGGGTACGGGGCAAGATGGTTCTTCGGATGTATTCGGATCTCTCAGCGTCTCGGGTGTGGAGGAATTGGTGAAGACCTTTTTGGATAAAGCCGGAACTATCAATCAACTATCCATTTTAACCGGTATACACTTCTTTTTTCTCCGTTAATTACGGTTTTCCGCGTTTAACCGTGGAAGGCCAGCTTTTCACCCTTTTTACCTAATGTAACGAACAAAGAAATGAATGGACCGTTTCTTTTTATAATCCCTTCCAATTAAAAAGCTTTCTTGGACTGGGGTCTATTGGAACCCTGGAAAAACGGATCTAGGTACAAATTACGAATACATTTTTTTTGAGTATAAACTTAAATGACAGTTCAATTTGAGTCTAGCCGTAAAAAATTATTATATTTTTTCAACAATTTGTCTTATTTTGTTTTAATTTTAGAAAAGGGTCTTGGTTTAGCTATTCGGCAGTTTATAGACAAACAAGAGTTCGATTCGATCAGCGAATTGGTTGGGCATCAGCTCCACAAAATACAGAAAGATTTGATCGAAAAACAGAACCGAGAAAATATCGTGAACGAAGAAATTCTGGATAAAGCTATAATTAAGTAAATCGTTCGCACATTTGATTCGCGAAAAAATTTTTGTTTTAAAAAAATAAATGGCTACAAAAATACGCATATATTATAGAAAAATATTTAATTTATGAATTACAAAAAAAAAATTGGATTGTAATTAAAAGCGCATGCGCCTTCCCCCTCTTCCATTTGAGAAAAAGCTATTTCGTTTAATGATAATATTATACCACCTTAAAATTGTACAGCACTGTATCCCTTGAGGATAAGAAATATAATTTTACTTTTGTCGTGCTTTAGGATGATCTTGTAACAGTCGAATTGGGTGGATTCGGACCATACCCGAGCGTTCGATAAATCCAACCCAACGGCGTTTTATAAATATGTTTAACAAACGAGAGAAATAAATCTGAGCGAATTTTGATTATAAATTTATATTTTCATTTCGAAAAATGCCAATCAGATAATGTCGATCATCATTGGTATGTTTTTGTGATAAACATAGCTTGAATATAATCGTTCGGGATAGTTTTGATGTACTGTTTTGAATTAAATACGCGTAACTAGTGCTGTAAACGTTACTACCAAAAAGAAGTGCGTAACCGTTACTCGTTACGTATGAAAAGTAACGCGTTACCTTTTTAAAAAAAGAACGCGCGTGTTACTGACTATTCAGAAAAGAAACGCGTTATCTTTACTCGTTACCTATAGAACGAATGGCATTTCTTCTCTTCAAAAATGTAACGAAGTTAGTAACGCCGTTACTTTTGACGTTACTTTACAGCACTACTCTTAACTAATAAAAGCAGACTATCAAAAAAAATTGGAAACGCTAATTTGTGACGGCCAAGTTTTTGGATTAGCTATCAATTAACAGTACATTTAAATGTGAACGCTCTAAGGATCTAGTATGGCGGCTGACCTCGGGATTCAACAGAAATTATTCCCGCCATATATTCTGGAAAATGTGGCAAAAAATATGCATATTAAAATATTTCCGGAAAAAAAAATTACGGTAAAAAAATTTGCAGGTGTTATACAATATTCTTATCTTTTTCAATAAGTACGCCATTTTTTTAAAAAATAAATTTATATACAAACCTTTTTTTTTATATAAATAAAATAAAATGAATGAAAGTGATCACGGGATGGCATCCATTTATTTATCGTTTTGTTATATTTTTTCTGACATTCAAAAAAAAAATATAATGGATTTCAAAGGTTCAAAGAGGCTCGGATTTTGAGACAATTAACAAAACCTTTTTTTATATAAAAAAAATAAAATAAATGAATGAATGAAAGTGATCACGGGATGACATCCATTTATTTATCGTTTTGTTATATTTTTTCTGACATTCAAAAAAAAAATATAATGGATTTCAAAGGTTCAAAGAGGCTCGAATTTTGAGACAATTAACACAACAAGAAAGGGACGAAAGAAGGATATCGACCGCCAATACTAACGGTGGCGGAGAAATTGATGGGTCTGGTAAAGATGACAACGTAGACATCTTGTTAGAAGAGGATTCTGATATCGAAGACCGTATTCCCATCTCTTCGGGAGCTATGGAAGGACGATCCCGAGGGAAGGGCAATGACAATGATGATAGACAAATAAATTCTTCTAATATCGCCAAAACCAAGAAGAATAGACAAGATTCTTCATTTCCTTCCATTTTATCGCGCGGAATAAATGACGACGATTTCGGTAAAAATAAAAATAATAATTTGCTTCTTTTTTAATAAATCTAGGATATTAATTTTTTGTAACCTAAAGAAACCTAATAATATATGGTAAATGGTAACTTTTTATTCTCAATTTTTTCTTTCTTTCTTTTTCTATCTTTCTTTCTTTTATATATAAATATATATATGTATATACTATTTTATAATTATTCAATTTAACTGACCTTTTATACAATATTAAAATATAAATAAGCTATATTATTTGTATAACAAATATATTATTCAATTATTTGTATAACAAATATATTATTCAAATAACGTTGAATTATTAAAACCTTTTAAAATAATATGAAATGTAAACATTAATTCTTTTTAGAACCGACATATTATTTTGCTATTTGTAGCCTCTTACAACAATGATTACAAAATATTAAACAACTTTTCATTGTTTTCTAATCAAATGCAATTTATATTTAACAAAAAAAAACATATTTTTTTTACATTTCTCCAGTTGTTCTTTTTTTACAAAAATAAAATCTTCAGTTTGGAATTTCCTAATCCTGTGATTCTTGTTACAATTATAATTAATTTCCGTTTCCTCTAGAGATCTTCGAACTTTTTATTCTTAAAATTAATTTAAGAAAGATGGGGCGATTTTTATGCTTAAATTAGTTATGTATTAGTTTCACTAGTGAAGTTCGGCTCAAAACTCATTGCCCTAAATCTATCCAGGACCATTTATAAAAATGAGTCCGCCTCGCCGCGGACCTGATTTTTTTTCCCGCCTCCAAAATTTGACGGTATGTTTACAGCTAGAGAAATATGGAATATAAAAAGGATTTGTTTTTCAAGATTTTTTTTTGTTTTTTTTTATTCTTTAGACAATCCCTTTGTCGATAAAACTTCCGACCATAACACTTCGAAAAATAAGACGAGATCAGCCGAGATTGATGCCCAAAGAACGAAATCGGACAAAGGAGGCGATGCTAATTTTACTTCCGATTCCGATGATGACCTCATAAGCCAGTTCGCCTCCGGACAGGAAGCGGCGACTCTCTCGCAAAATAAGAGCGATAAAGGGGGGAGTAAAAATAGCGAATCCATTTCCTTGTTCACCGATACCAGAAATCACGAAAATGATGGCGGCATCGTTGGTAATTCAAATGGTAGCTTGATTGACTTGGATGATATGGAGGTTGACATCTACGATTCTTGTGACAGCGTCGATGTGGAAGTGGCCAGAAAAGTGAGTATATCTTCCTTTATTTTTTTTTTTAAATATAAAATATAATAGACTGCGGCGACTTGTTCATCAATTCGCTAATTATTTTTTTACAAAATTTATTAGAATGCTAATTCGATATTTTGACACATTTTTCACTGTATTTCGGTGAATGTGTTTAGGCTTTTTTTTCGAAGAAAAAAAAAAGGAATGTAATCAAATTCCTTTTAAAATATCTTCGCTAGAACGCCGCTTTTCAATTTCCATATAATACTATATTTTCCAGCCTATTTTTTTTATTTTTTGCATTTATTAAAACCCATAATTAACACCCTATGTATAAAGAAGATTTTTCCTAAATGATTATCTCTTAAAAAATTTATTTTAGTCGAGGATCGATGTTGATTCCTATTTTATATTATAAGTTTAACCTACCCCATAGTCTGTCTGGGCCGATTGGTTCATCATTTTGGGAATTATGTTTTTTTTTAATAACGAAATTGTTATTTTTATAACCCTCGGGAGGTTTGGTTTGGACTTGGAAAAGAAAAAAAAACTTTTCTAAAAAATCACCGTGTTTTTTTTTATTTTTTTAAAGTCCACGAGGAAAACTGCTACTACTACTACTACGCTTAAAGAATCTAAGCAAGGCGCCAAAAAGCCAAATCCAAAATCTACCAAAAATCCTAAAAATACCGAACCCAAGGGTACATCATCCGGCAAAGATATCCGGTCTTACTATTCCTCTTCTCAACTCTCCTTTTCATCCCACGGTGCTCAAAAGCCAAAAAAGGACTCCGGCGATACTATTATCTCTAAAACTACGCGTTCTACTAAAAACAAAAAAGTTTTTAGGATTTAAACCGTCAGGGAAATATTTATTCCATTAAATCGTCAAAATTTTTTTAAAAAAATGTATATTTTAAAACATAATATAATTTGTCAGAATATATAGTTCATTTTTTTTGCAAAAAATAATTAATAAATATTATTCTCTGATATTAAGCTATATTATACTTGGTGTTGTTAAACGGCTCGGTTTTAGCCGATTTTTAAAAACCGCTAACACTAACATTATTATCCGGTAAATATTATCTTAAGCGTCAAGATTTCGGCAACAGATGTTCAATCCTATGTGCCATCTATGAGGCGAAATCTTTCTGGATAAAATAATGAATTAGCCATTTTATAAGAATCGGCTCAAATTGAGCCGTTTAACGACACTAATTATATTAGCTCTTGATACGTATGAGTGGTGCTCCATTTACTTTTAAAATTTTAAAAAATAGGGAAAAATGAAGCTTTTAGGACAAAATAACGAATAAAAATTGTTCTAATTACCTCCTCCAATCACGTTTATTATTTAATTTTTTTTTATCTCACACCTGATTTACGCGTATAAAGGATTTACCAGTTTTCAAAAAAAAAAAAATTTTTTAAGTGGATTTAGGTGGTTTTATAAAAACTACCCAGAATCTGAATAAGGGAAGGGGGTGGGGAATTTATTTAAAGATATCATGAATCTATTTTTAATTACCGAGTTTTCGATATCGCGGACCAATTTGATAGAAATGAAGAACTCCAATTATTGAGAGTGCGAATTGGGATAGTTACCATTTCGATGTTATGTTACATTATATTAATCTGTCTTAGTTTACAAAAAATGGTATATCATTTATCATGTCCTAATAAATAAGTATTATTAGGTATAATCAACATTTGAACAATTTTTTCACCCTGCCAAGTTATTTTGATTATACTTAGCTTTATTTTTTTTAAACAGATCGAAGTTTTAGGTTAAATAGCATCTTGCAGGTTCTGACTAAAACAGAAAATATATTATTTTAGAAACATTTTTATAATAGTTAGGAAACTTTTCTAAGATATTAATTCGGTTCTCCACCATCTTTTAGGTAAGCAAGCACTTTAATCTCAATATCAATCGATTGGATTTTGCGGTTGATATAAAATTTACAAATTGATAATATCAGAATCCCGTGATTGATTTTTGTATATGGAAATGCTTATTGAAGCAGCTTCATACATGATTAATGATTATTAAATCATTTTGTTTAGATAGTGATCTAACCCGTCTAAGCATAAAATATGGGTGTGAAATAGTAGCTAAAATAGCTGAGCTTGCTTCGCGATCAAACTCTACATCTGGAAATTGATCTTCTAACTTAGTTAATTAGAGCCTTATGAAAGGGTACACAAATTTCTTTAGAACAAAAATATTAGCACCAGCTTTCCATAATTTACTACGGGTGATAAAATTTTACAGTATTGTAAAAAAAAAATTCTATTTCTAAGTCTTTGCAATTAATATTTATTGAGGATACTTTTTCAAATGATTAACTTAATTTTTACTTATAATAATATCTATATTCTAGGCGTTATTCATAAAATTGCCACCTTGTATAGCATACAACAGAGATAAGATGAACAACGAAATATCTGTCATTGATTCAACTGATTTCCTCCTATGTTTCATAGTTTTTCACAAATAAACGTTGTTGATTCATAAATTCTTGATAAACTTGTATTTTTATCGTTATATTATACTTTTGATTTCATGTCACGATTAAGGGCACCCAGAGAATGTGGTAATTGTTAACCTTGCTTTCTATGATTTAGTACGTTTTTGTAAAAAAAATCATTATATTTGATAGCATAGTTTCTCTAAAAGAACAAGATTGGGAGAAAGTTAATATTTAAACATCAAACTTTTTTAATGATTTTACCTGTTATGTGAAAAAAAATTGGACGAATATTGGCAATTTAGATGTACCTTCTAAGTGAACGTAGGATTTTACTAGCAATTGGAATTATCGGGCCAAGATAAAAGTTAAAGGTTGAGAATTATTCATTATATTTTGCCAAAGATGATGAAATAAATGAATGATTGCTATTATTAAGCGTTTTTCATAAAACATTAATTAGGAGTTATGAATTAATTATATCCATTAATATCTCAAAATTATTGATTATAATTTAATTTATTAAAATTACAAAAACGGAATTGTAGTTATGGAATTAATTACATGTGTGATTTTACCGACCTACAACAAAAAATTTTAAATTATTCCTTGTGGAGCAAGAAAAATTGGCTCTGTCAATTCTAAACTATTCCCAAAAGTTTTGAAATGCTCATCTACTACCCTCAGCTTTTTTATCCAATCAAGTCGCATCATTTAATTCAATATTATTAAAGGCGTTATTAACGCCATCTTTCGTTAAAATATATAGCTAGATATAATATAAAATAAGTGTGTCACATTTTTCTTTCTTGGTTATAAACCAAAAGATATTAATCACATTCTTACAAATTTGATATTAACAAATATAAGATATGTTTAGGGATCTTAAGGATAGAGTCAGACAAGAATTGGTGGAAAAAATAATGATTCTTTATCACAATTTATCAGTATATTAAATATATTTATATATATAATACATATTTCGGTAAAAAGTTAATTGTATATAAAAAAAACATTTGAATATATTTCAACAAAGAAAATAAATTTTTATTAAATCTATGTATAATTTCAAAGATTTTTCTTTGTTTTTTAAATTTTTATATTCGGATTAACACCAGTTTGTTTTTTATATTTTGGTATTTTTGTTTTAAAATGTTTATGAGAAATTTAATAAGAAAAATTTTTACGGTTAAAGGAAATTTCTTTATAAATCTTAATTAATGTAGTTAAAATTACTATTAGGGACTAAATATGTATTAAAATTTGATTATATATATATGCTAAGACAATTTTTTAATATTAGTTCTGGACGGATACAGATGCCTTAATAATAAATCATAGCATAGAGCAAAAATTAAAATTCGGTATCTTAATTTGCACAATTTATTCTTTAAATTGATAATAAAATATATCTAATATATTGGTCATAAATAATGAGGATTGGGACCTCATCATCCCTATTTTGAAATTAAATATAGTATATAAATACATATTAAGTGTGTTACATCTGTTGATTTGTTATTTGAATTGTAGAATATTAACATGGACACTTAATTCTACTAACTGTTAGACACCAACAGAACGTCGACTTTATAAATAAAAATAATATTCGGAAAGGAATGGTTTTTTTTATAAATATAAATGTAAGCGCAGATCTATGTAATGGTCCAACAAGCCCCCAATATGCCTATAAGTTTAACTAGCCCTGGTCTCTATTAATTTAATAGTTATATATAACATTTTTGTTAAAAATCATGAAAAATTAAATGACTACCTATCTTCAAATAAAGATAACTCGATTATTTTGTATTTTTATGATTATTTTTTTGAGAATAAGATTCAATTTGGATTTGTGCTAAGTCCGATATTTGTAAATTCGATCAAAATCCTGGTCCGGTCCGTGAATAATTTTATCCCGGGCCGGTCCGGTCCTAAAATACCCGGGCCGGGCCGTAAAATTTATTAAAAATTAATACAACATGAATTATTATATTAGTAAATTAGATATGGTTACAATGATTATATATAGTTATGATTATTATAATGTTGGATGAAAGTTAACACTAGCTAACACTCATAGTATCTATTACATAATACAAATAGTTTTCCTGCCATGGAATAAATACGCATGGTTTAATAGGTAATAAATACATTATTATATAATAAATGTTATATTTTTTATTAATTAAAATATCAGTTTTATTTTTTTATACATACAATTAATATAGTATATTCTCAAAATATTATTTACACAAATTTTTTATAGTATCAATTTGTAATATATTAAATATCTGTTTAGAATAAAATAATAAAATATGTAATATGTAGTGTTGTTAAACGGCTCGTTTTGAGCCGATTTTTAAAAACGGCTAACACATTATTATCCATAAAAATATTACGTAAGCCTGAAAATTTTGTTTATGGATAGAGCAAAGGTCTAGACATATAGTATCGAAATTTCGAGGCTTAATCAATATTTTCCTTCGATTGAGTTAGCCTTTTTTTAAAACATCGATTCAAATAGCTAATATGCTTGCTTATTAAATGATAATACTCGCCGAAAATAGAAAAAATACCGAATAAGTGAATTATTTGTACATACCATGTCGAATATAATTTTAAAAAATTCCGAGCCTGGCCTAAAAAAATTTTTTAAACCGGGGCCGCGCCGTAAAGAATTTTTGAAAAAAAAATCCAGGCCGAGCCGGGCCGATGCAAATGGTACCTCTGCAGATCTCTGAATATAATATACCTGTTCTTCTGATGAATTTATACATTCCTAAAAATCTTTTCAGTTTACTAATTAAGAGGAAGAAGGACATCTTCATATAGTCATTTTTTTCCCCGCAGTTTTTCATCTCTAATTTATTTTTTCCAGAAGTTTTTTTACGATATTCTGTTGAATATTTTTTTTTCTCCATTATCAAGATTGGTATATGGTTCTAAAATTTTAACATAAAACTATTTAAACTTGAATATTAAATTTGATAGTTTTATAAATTCCTTAGAAAGTATAAAGTGTATTCATCTCGGCTTTATATTTTCAATGATCGAGACCCCCTGAATGCATTCTGTGCTTGTGATACGCCCCAATTATAATGTTCACTCTAAAAAGAAACTTGGATCTCAGGCGATATGACAAAAACTTTTATATGTGTCGTTTGAATAACAAAAGTCTTAGAGATTTTGACAGCGACACATATAAAGAGGACTATAATAGTTACATCTACAATTAATCCTATTGGAATATGAAGTAGGATAATTAAGTGTTCTGAAGAGGAAGAGAGTATATTGTAAGAATTAAGTACGTTACGGGTTCATTTTTATTATAAATAGTTAAAAGTTGTTAAAGAGAGATGGTGCAAATATAAGAGTTTTAATTTTTCCACAATGCACTCTTTTGGTAAGGT